AATCACGCCTATTTCGTATGAAAGTAGAATGATCTCTGGTTTCCTTGAAAGTAGTCATTTTTGTAAAGACACGTAGAGACTGCACATACCGTTGCCGTAAAGCAAAATCTTAATCGTTTGAGTTTGGCGGGTAAAACACCGTTGTCAACCTAGTCCCTCACGGCCAAAGTAGCCGTAGTAGTACCTCGCCGTAGCGTATCTTAAAGTCCCTACTGTCTGGCTTGTTACGGCTCATTCCTAAAGCTAAGAGTTTTTATACAATAAACTATTTACTTGCACCATCATGTGGTCAGCAAAGACACTATTCTAGTGATAAACTTATTTGTACAATGTAAAGATACGTTGGCTCGCGAACATTACATATGGATTCTGCATGTCATCAGGTGCTTGTTTACAGCTGTTTCGCGAAAGGCTGCAAAGTAAAAACCGTTCGCGACGATGCTAAAAAGTCAGATGTTAGATTAACACTGGTTGATCAAAGGTCAACATGTTTCAGCGCAAAGGTGAAATAAATCGAAGACATGTTTTTATATTTTTTCTCCTATCGTGCTGAAACGCCGGCATTTTCGAATGTACCTTTACATTTCCGTGGGACAAGCTTTCGTGAAATGGTTCTATAACTATTTATTAGTTATGTTAATGCTCATGGTTAGTGCGTTCGTCCCCGGATCGGATGCTCAAGCGGTCCGGGTTCGAGCCCTGGCCGGGGACACTGTGTTGTGTTCTTGGGCAAGACACTTAACTCTCCCAGTGCCTCTCTCCACCCAGGAATATAAATGGGTGCTGGCGAATTGTTGGGGAAACCTAACAAATTGCGGGGTAGTGACCTGCGATGGACTAGCATCCCATCCAGGGGGAGTAGAAATACTCCTGGCCGCTTCATGCTACAGAAACCGGAATAAGCTCCGGCAGCTATGAGCCAGTCGGCTCCAAGGCTTCACACACACTTTTTTGGGAAGCAGGCCGCACACCCACACCCAATTTTTCTAGGAGTACCCCTACCCCCCCCCCCCCCCCCCCCCCCAGTATATAGATTTCGTATTTTAAACGTAAATCAAGGAGTATTAGAGCAAAATCGTTTCAAAATACGTTTTGCAAATTGTAAGAGATGTTGCATCTTCATGTTTCGAAAAAATGGTTTTTGGGAGAAAAAGTTGTATCTGGGGGTATGAGACCACCTTTGTCAAGTTTTTTAGATCATATCAGAGTTTGTCTCTTTGCCTCCATTTTGCAAACCAAGCCTGGTGTAAACTCTTTGATGCGGAAATGAGTTTTCGTCAAACAATCATAGGCATCAGAATTAAACAGATTTTTTCGTTAGCAGACAAAAAGAAAATGTTCTCTGACGGCTTGGAAAAGAAAGAAATACTAATACATTTTTGCTGATAGTAGCCCAGGGAAGAAGAAATTTGTGTTACTAAGCGACAAGCGGCCATGTAATGTTCTATTTGTTATGTAGAGGGTTTGGATGGCTTGCTGGAATCTTCAGTAAAAGTTTCTGCAGTGATTCCTCAGTTATTATTAAGAACAAAACCACGTCATTCCTCAGCTGACAGTGAAGACTTTATTCATTTAGAAACAAAACTAAGAATTAAAGTGGTCACCTAAAAAGTGAGGCAGAGTTTGTGATAAAAGTCGTAACCCTTAACTTATGAAAGTTCCCTTATTCCAAGAAAATATTTGCCTAGGTTCTGTCACAATACACTCAAATTGATTCTATGTGTTATAGCTGTAAGCTATCAGGTGAACTCACGCAGCTCTTAACACTTTCATCAAGTCTTGGCTGTGACATTTCACTTTTATAGTTAAGCGTATTGAGTGACAACTTATATGTATTCATCAATTTGCACAACGTGCGGTCAGCGGAAACGCTATTTTAGTTCATGGTAAAATTATTTCTACAATACAAAGATACGTTGACTCCGAACATCACTTGTGGATGCTGCAGGTCACGGGTGCTTGTTTACAACCGTTTCGCAAAAGGTTGTCTTCAAAGTAAAAAACGTTCGCGACAGTGGCGAAAGGTAGTGTTAGATTAACGCTGGTTCATCGAAGCTCAATTTGTTTCAGCGTAAAGCAGGGTAACAACGAAGACCCTTTTTGAAACGTGTTTTCTTCTGTCGTGCTGAAATGCCAACATTGTCGAGTTTGCTTTCATGTTTTTGTATGACAACCTTTCGCAAAACAGTTCTATTTGTATTTGTTGTGTCAATGCTCTGCTCGATAAGAGCAGTTTGTTGTTTCGTGTACGATGTAATATATTTTATAGAAGAGACCGTGTTCTGCCACATTTACAACAATAACGACTATTTTATTTCACATAGTTGAAAAGAAAATGCGGAGCGGGTCAAAGTCACTCTTAAAACCTTTTCCACAATTTGCTTAAACTTGAATTTAAAAAAAGTTGCATTTTCAGGACGTTCAAGCAAATTTTTACCACGTGTTCTTGCTGCCCAAATAATTCGTGTCGCAACGTCACGCCGCGTCATACATTAAGCGGTCGCTGACTCCCTCTTTTCTTTTTTTCCTTTACTGATTTTCTCCAATTTAACCAAAGAAAAAAAAAAACAGAAAAATTCTCGACGTGAGAAGTTAGAACCAGTATTTCACCTTTTCTGCTCTGGTACGTGTGTGACCGAAGTTTCTTCACATGTCGACGGGTAAGGCTAATGTGTGTTCTTTTCCAAGGCCTTTTCTAACTCAATGGGCAACATCAGCTGCAAACGTTCACTTAATAGACGTCCTTAGTTGTGTTGAATTGAGTACGTTTATCCGATCCAATTGCTGATGCTAGTAGCTAAAATTGTCTTAAAATAATACAAGTTTCTAAAAACACATCGAAAACGAGCGCGGTGACTCCCCTTTTTTATAAAATAATCTTTGCGAGGAAACATTTTGGGCGCGAATGTCCTTTACATGCTCATCTCAATTCGGAATATTAAATGTAGAAATAGCATCAACTCGGAAAAAATCCCAGTTTCAGATGGGGTTTGAACCCACGACCCTCCGTGATCTAACCTGATGCTCTAACCACTGAGCTACTGGAGACTCTATGGTTAGCAAGGACCGTTTCGCGCAGTCAGACAGCCAAATAATGACTTAGCACATGCATCTGTAGTCATAACTGCATCACGCAGTCACATTGAGGCATAACCAAGATGCAACCAACCAACCAACCACTAGAGTGAGTAACGAAAGGAATATAAAATGTAGAAATAGCATCAACTGATGCAATCTCAATTCGATAATAAAACTGGAAGTCATCGGACTCATTTTTGAGTTTCGAGCAATTTTAACTAAAATTTCGTTCGTTTTAATGTGTTACACCGTTGATTAATATAAGTAACCATTGTCTTACACAGTCTTTTGTAAGTTTACCAATGATTGGGCAGCACTTTACTGACAAAGGATTAGCAAGGTAGTCCCATTGAGCAAGAATCTACGTTTCTGTAAAAAAAAAAAAGAATAAAATAACAATTTGTCTTTCTAAAAGTTTAAAATACTTATATAGGGGCTGGGCTATTTTCGTTCTGGCCAATTTTTACCACTTAACTATGTCTTTTCCGTTCTTAAACTGAAAGGCATTCCTAAATGAAAGGGGTCAGGTGTGTACTTGTATATATCATAAATAACTTTTACTAACGAACCTAGAGGGAATAACTATTGGTTACGGAAAGAGTTTTGCCACTCGATTTATGGTCTAAGCAGGAATTATTATATCAGTCTCCAGGTCTGTGTGTCTGACAAGTTCCGGAAAACATTTCAAGTCAAGCACCAAGTCATAGACAAGCAAAGTGGCTTCAAATAACTGACGTGGGTCAAAAGGAAAACAAGTGATTTCGAATTCGCTGCCACGTCCTATAGCTAAGCACGTACGTTTTATTACAATGTATTTTGATGCACCATGAAGTACCATGATTTCTTTATGTTCATGGCAAATAGATGTGTGAAACATTTCCTTTTTGACATGTCATGTCAAACGTGAAGTGTTTTACACATCTCTTTTGGCATGAACATAAAGAAATCATCGTGAGAATCAATTAAAAGTTGATGAGTAAATTGTTTGGCTAAATAATTAACGTACCTCGATATGTGTATAGCTCCATCCTCATAGCGATATGAGTCTGCCATGCCGTTGGCTTTAGCCGTAAGAAACGTGCCGTGATTGGTGGATTTAGGTGGTGATAGACAACGGTGTCGTGATCGGTATTGCCATCGAACACCTAAAAATATATATAGCAGTGAGGAAAAAAAAATGTTTCTTAAGTTTAAATGTAGTTTGTTTTGGTTCACTTATTTTACAAGGTATGTGCTCTTATTCCAATTCGCTCTGTAGGAAATATTCGTTGAACAAGTTGGTTACTTCCATTCTTTATTATTACGCCGCGCCCGATTAAAACTGTGGCAACTTATCAGAATTGCTTCTTATATCACATGTCTTAAACTGCAAAAATTGTTACTTTTGTTGACCGTTCTTTGAGTCAATATGGCTAAGGATGTCATTGAAAATGACGAAAGAAATTTCTCGTAAAGATTGTAGTTAATGATTGGGAGGAAATTCGTGCATCTTATCCCGGCTTATCTTGAGGTATTTGTAAGTGTGACAAAAATTATTCGTCTTGTAGTAGAGAAATAAAATAACATACTTTCTTCCAAGAAGGCGAGCTAGCGAATGCTGCAATTTGGTTCGTGGCGCGGTGGGTCTGTATATAGTGAAAAACTGTGACTGAGGTCACAGGTTTTCACAATACGGACCTCTCAGCCGACAGATAACATATCTGACGTGAGATAATACCTTGTGATAATATTTCTATTTACCGAGTCTGAAGATTCTCCTTGTCTCTTGTAAAACAAGAATGATGCCCCATCGTCGCTGAACTGCAACTTGTACTTCGTTACCCACTGTCCAGGAGAGAAGGAATTCCTCCCCTGTGTAGCCACATGTGTCACAGGAGTGATTTTACCAAGATCAACTTGAAGCCATTGGTTCAAATCGTTCGTCGAACTTGACCAGGCGCCAGTCCCTATTCCAATTCCAATCTCCTTAGTATATAATCTCGCTCGTTTAGGACTGCTGTAGACGTCCCATTCTGAAGAAGCAGTTATTTGCGAGTCTGCAATAGCACAGCTTTCCATACCAAGAGCTTGCATACCGTCTACAAAATGAAAAAGATATCCGGCATGCAGTAAACAATTATTGGAAATGTCGTTTCTCGAGATATCCACAGTAACCCAAAAATAATCAAGGTCTCCCTGGAAACGAGGTTGGGTAATTGCTACAAGCTTGAAGCTTCGGTTTCGACTGATAATACTTAACTAACTTTGATTGATTGACTTTGATCATTCTTGTCCTCAGATGTTCTTTCAATAATTCTTCGATTGGTTCATTTCTTGGATTATTTCGCATTTTTCGAGTCTATTATCCACTTATTTCAGCATTTAGTGGTCGGAGGTAAGCGTAACACGATAAAATCTTTGTAGCTATGCAACCGTGCTCGACAATTCAAGATCTGCAGCTCACAAAATACAGGTTGCGAATGAGGAAAAATTCTAGCCTCCTTCACTGAGGAGGCTAGAAGGGAACTGTTGGTTTACACTGTCACGCCATTAAAAATTAAAATCGTAACCATTTAATAAATCAAGTCAAAAATCTGGGATATAATAGATGATTAATATATAAACAACCTTGCAGAGACTTAGGTCTGTGCGGTTTTGCATTCGCGCGTAATGCGGAAAAGTATTTCACCCAAGTTTATAGAGCTTTGTGTGGAGACGCCATGTTGGTACCCTTCCGATAAGCACCAACATGGAAGAGGCATTTGACACCGTCGCACAGATAAACAAAGAGCTAAAAAGAACGGAATTCGATGGGGCATTTTGCATAAAAATCAAACTTTTAATTGATAGAATTTCTTCATTTTTGTCGCTAAACGTAGAAAATCGGTAGGGAAAATGATCCATCAACGTCCAACATCATTAAATCCAGAAAAAGCTATAGCAATGGCCATCTACCCTATCATTGTTCATTTTATTACTTAGCGCGAGCTCGATGCATGACGTGGCGTGCGAATTTGCGTGCGCAGTGGGGATGCGCAGAAACAATTAGCGCGAACATCCTTAACAACGTTTCGCAGGCCTGGTGTTGTGTTCCGTTAGACTTAAGATTATCCCTAAATTTGGCCCATATTTGGGAGCACCTCTTTCAAGCTATTTTTCTTGACCAATGTTAGCAATTATTATCAAGAACGAACAATAAAGCTTTTAATTAACATTTATATAAAAATATCAAGACATTTAGGTAGCAACTTTTTGGATTTTTGGCAATTTTTCAGCAACTTTTTTGGCATTCCAGTATGTAACTTTCCAGTATTTTACGAGCACAATCTAGAAAGGCCTAACAGTAACATTGCTCTAGAGTTCCGACACATTGAAAGAACTAATTCTTAATTCTAGCCTGCGTTGCAGGCGTAAACGGGGAAGGGGTAAGGTGGCAAAAAAACGAGAGGAAACAGGGGAAGGAACACTTGCTATAAGAACCGGGCTTTTCTCATTACGCCCATCAATTGCGATGTAATGCGATTTCCTTAACTGTCAATTACTGTCAACAGGCTCACCAATTAGAGACTAGCGGACGCTTGTAGGCATAACTGACTTCCTACGGAAATTTAGTCGATTGAAATTTCCCGGAGTGATTAATAGGCGATTTGCACGATGGCGTCATTTGACTACAACTACCAGAATGCTTCACTTTTTTCTGTTTCTTTTGCTGATTTGGGCAATTGTTATTTAAATCCCATTGCGACTTCAAAATTAAAATAATATAGAAAAAACGAAAGGAATTCTGTTAGTTGTAGTCAAATGACGACAACGTGCAAATCTAATGAGCTCGAAGAGCTCGAAAATATATAGGGACTAAAAAAAACGTTTTGGTATAGCAGATGACTTAATGACTTGTATTTTCCGTAGCAATGTAAGACCTGTCTAACTCCAGTCTTTTAAAGATTCTCTCAAAGATTTCTCGATAGTTTCGAAGTTCATGTTATAAAACAAAGGGTGATTATGGGTGAAATGGACACCCAAGATTTTAACCACCTTGCTTATCTCTTTTATACCTGACAACGCGCTCTTCATTTCCATATTGCCAAGCAAACGAATTTCTGTTTTGTCATGATATACACACAAGCACGAGTATGTGCTAAAAAGTTTGATGGTGTTGAATAGGGCGAGGTGTGACTGTTTGTCACGGATAAATGATGTCATGTCATCTGCAGATATGACTAATTTCAGTTCAGTTCCATGTACCACAATACCTGTTATTTGATCATGGACTTCCTCATTTGAACCACACGAGAGCCTTCTCGCGCCACCATTTTAACGTCCCCGAACGAATAAACTTAGAAATTCAAACGCCGTCCATAAAAAAAAAAAAAAAATGAGGACCCCTGTCGAGCTTAAACGTTGAAAAACTTCAAGTTCTTACAGGGTCTCCTCTTTGATGAGACTAAAACTTCAGGAGGTTGGTAATTTTTAATTTTGGAAAATAATGACGTCACATGACAATCGGCAATTCTGGCAGTTAATATCATGTGAAAGTCTGAAACGAAAGAGGTATTAAACATACGAAAATTACTACAGTTGCTGCCAGGATTCATGATGATATTTGGTATATTTGCATCATTTTGGACCTTTTTATATAACTTATTATTACACTTTTTCCAATCAAAACCGATGACGACAGAAGTTCTTCCGTCGAAACGTCTTTTTAGTGTTTTTAACAAAAGGTTTGTTTCAACGTTTTTTAGGCCAGTGTCAAACCCATCTTTATATTTTAAAGATTTTAAAATAGTTCAGGTTCTAATCGCTACATGAAATTTAACCGAGATCTTTGTTGATCTGCACGTTACTTTAAGACTTTCGTGACTAGTCTCCGGCATCACGTACACACAGCTGTAATAATCTAAAGGCTTTACTCTTGGGGTGAAGGTATGTACAATCAAGTAAAAATTAGACATGATCTACTTTTTTCTGCATTTTCAGTTCGGAAGTACGCGAGACACGACAAAATCTTTCTTGCTATGCGACCACTCTCGAGGTGACAGATAACCCATCGATACCTACAGTGTTCTCTGAGCTATGCGAATGCAAACGCGCTCGACAGGTGACAAAATTATTTAGAATTATCTAGATCATAGACATTGAGGATGCAGCGAAATCACCGTGATAGGCTAAAAAGAAATTATTGCAGTTACTATATATTACGCCAGTGTAAAACGATAAAAGATTAAACATTTCGGGTTCTAATCATTGATATGTGTGGTGGAAATTGCCATATGATAACTTTGTTAATCTGTACGTCGAGACTGTTTACGATGGGTGTGTTCCCATGAAAACATTTTGAAATAAAATTCCAAGTCGGTAGTTTGTCAACATTTTCATTGCTCAGTTGTCCTCACTAGTGACCAGTCTCTCACATCTCACACACAGTGCAGTAATACCGAAACTCTTTCAAGCCTTCTAAAACCCTTTCTCCCGGGGTAAAGATGCCAATAATCAGAAATAAGTCATAGGTGGGTTTAAAGGTTGGATCAAACGGTCAGTTACCAAGACAGCCGTAGAGTTCCATCCTCATGGAGATGTGTAGGTTCCATTTTGTTGGTGTCAACCTAACATATCGCGCTTTGATTGGTGGAGTTAAGCGATGTTTTACCATGGTGTTGACATCGCTGTTTCCAATAAACACCTGCAGGAACACGTATATACAAATGAGTTATGTAATGCTTTCGCTTTATATTTCAAACGTCCCTTATTTGCAAAGATTGTCAAAGGCTTTTTGAGCCTCCCCTAACGTATTTTTCAGTTTACCAAACCTTCTGCGTTACATACTAAAATACAAGCTTAAAATATACTTAAATACTTAAATGCCACATTAAGGATCTT